TGCCCACTCCTGAGACCAGATTGCCTTTCAGTGTCACCCAGCCCCCAACTCTGCTTCCCACATGGCCTTACATGTGTTGTTCCTAGATGTGCCCCTCAAGAAGCGCCTGCACATGACCATTTGCCTTGGAGTCTATTTCCAGAGAACACATCCTCTTATACTTGGTACCAACCGTGGTCCCGGGAAGTAACTCTCAAATGGTGGCTTAGAGTGGATCACCTGCAGTGTGCAGCGAGGCTGGCTGTGAGGTCCTCTTCCTGGTAGTTGTTGGTTGAATTCTGATAACCACTAGCACGTGTCTGAAACAGTGTTTAAAGCTTTCAGTGCTACCTGACTTCAGGCCTTAGTACAAAGCATCGTAATCAAAACAGTGACAGTGATGACTGAAAGAACAGACAAATAGATCAATGGAACAGGAGAGTGAGCCCAGAAACTTATGCAGATAAATGTGGTCTGCAGTATAGACCACATGGCGGCACACCTACATCAGAATTCACTGGCTGTGTGTTTGAAATCCATGTTTAGTGCTTTCCCACATACACACAACATCCCACATTTCCAAAAGTCTTGGCCAGGCACAATGGTTCACACCTGTAATCCCAGCACAATGGGAGGCTGATTTGGGGAGATTGCTTGTGCCCAGAAGTTTGAGACCAGCTTGGGTAATACAGTGAGAACCCGTCTCTAAAAATAAAGATACTTTAAAATTAGCCAGGCATGGTGGCATGCACTTGTAGTCCCAGCTACTCAGGAGGCTGAGGCAGGAGGATCACTTAATCCCAGGAGTGTGAGGTTAATATGAGCTATGAACGAGCCACTGCACTTCTGCCTGGGCAACAAAGTAAGACCATGCCTTGAAAGAGAGAAGGAAGGAAGGAAGGAAGGAAGGAAGGCAGGCAGGCAGGCAGGCAGGGAGGGAGGGAGGGAGGGAGGGAGGAAGGAAGGGAGAAAAAATAGGAAAAAAACTCCAGCACCTGTGAAGGGCAGTGTAAATCGCATGGTTCAGCGCAGGACTAGCAGTCTCAGTGCGCTCCCCTCCAAAAAAACCCTGTCCAGACTCATGTCACAATGCTCAAAAGCCAAAGTAGCTCCTGCCCCACTGGACCCTGTGCACCCCTCGACCTTCCGACCGACCCTCAGCATACTCACATGGACATGCACACTCCGTGCACTCGGCCAAAAGAAGTGCTGGCCTTTTCAGTGTGGGACAGAAGCTGGGGCACAAAGTGGAGGTGACTTGGCCAAGGGCATCCCATTCTGGTTTTGCCACAGCCCTTGGCTGGTTCCATCCAGCTAAAACCAGAGTTTCTGAAGTACAGCACTGGCACATTCCTTGTTTATGACGGCCCAGGGGTTGGGTAACTGCCAGTTATTACTGCGGGGAAGAAGGTAAAGAACCTTAAGCGTGTTTTATACCTTTACCCTGCAGGAGAATATCAGGCAAACAGGGAGAAATGGGGTCCTGTGCCCACAGAAAGACATGTCCTCGCCCCGTGCCTGGTTGCTCTGACAGGTGGGCAGCTGAGCGCCGCGGCGGTGGTGTGATTACTCATTTACCCGGTTTGCACCTATTTGATTGAGTGCCGGAGCTGTGTACCTTTGGTGGGAGCTGCATGGCTCCCGTTCTTTATGTGCCTGCTTAGCCGTTCTGCCATCCTCGGTCCTCTTTCCTGCCCAGACTTAAAAGGAATGGATTTCAATCACAGACGGTTTTTTGTTGTTGCTGTTGTTTGAGGCTCTGTTTCCCAGTCTAGAGAGCCATGGTGTCAGCCTAGCTCATACCAACCTCAAGCTCCTGGGTTCAAGCGATCCTCCTGCCTCACCCTCCCCATGGCTAGGACTACAGGTGCCTGCCACACATGCCTAGTTACTTTTTT